CAACACCTCCTCCAGGAAGACTGCCTAGCCTACCTCAGGCTCATCATGGTGACCCAACTCAATCTGTTCAAGTCTTCACACATGCTTGTTCAGCACTGACAAAGGGGGCTCTAGGCTGAGGGAGAGGGAGACAGGCTCATGGTAGCCTTTTCCATTCACCAAAGAGTAGGCCCAGGCCCATTTAATTGGCCTGGCAAGGTTTTGCTCAGGGACCTCTGCCAGCCCTCCTTGTGTCTCTGCCCCTCCGGCCCTTTACCCACAACTCACATAGTTTCTTTTGCCAATGATGTCTTTTCACTCAACTCTACCTGTTAACACCTGCCCTTCCAAGTCCTACTGAAATGTTTGTTCTCTTTCAGGCCACCTGAACCCACAGATGGAATAACTCATGCCTGCCTCCAAAGTCCCTGGGTGGTGAAGAGCTCAGCTCTGGAGTCAGAGAGGCCTGAGTTCAAGTCTGGTCTCCCTCATTCATTCAACAAACCCTCTTGGACCACCCACAATGGGCCTGGAGATACAAGATGACCTAGACAGAAGCCCTGCCCTCATGGAGCTCATGATCTACTCAAAGAGAGAAGAAACACACACGCAGACAAACAGCACAATTTCAGCAAGTAACAACCGCTTTGAAAAAACTACAGCAGGGCCATAAAGGGACAGGGGAGGGTATGGTTGTTAGTATGGACAGGAGGTTAGAGCAGTCACCTGAGGTGATCTTGAAAGGAATAAAGTGAGAGTGAGCCTGAAGAGATGGTAAGTGCATTCCCCGACAGGGAGCACAGCACGTGCGAAGACCCTGAGGTAGAAATGAACTTGGCGGGTTTGTGGTTGGTGGGCAGTGAGCAGGGGGAAGTGAGGTGTTGAGAAAAGGCCTGGCTGGGGTGCCTGGAAGAGATGGTGACAAGTGACAAGTGAGGAGGCAGGGAGCCCAGTGGGGAACTGCTGAGTGGGCCAGCAGGAGGCGGTGTACATGAGGGTAGTGGCCACAGTGATGGTGACAAGTGGCTGGATTCCACACATTCTGGAAGTTGAGCCAAGAGGGGGCTCTGGAGATGGCCTACAGGTGGGAGGGAGCGAGGGAGAAAGGACGCAGGGACACCTCTGGGTGCAGCTGAGCAGCGGGAGGGTGAAATGAAAAGGTGGGGGGCAGTGAGGACAGAGGACGGGGAGGGTGCAGTCATTGGTTCCATTTAGATGCATCTGAGATGCCTACAGGGCCCGCCCGAGAGCTCAGAGTCAGGATTGCAGGGGGAGGGATGAATCCCAGTCGGTGTCTATGCAGTATTTCAAGCCCTATGGTCTGGGGATGAGCTGAGCTGGGGAGAAGGGAGTTGCAGGAGCAGAGAAAGGGGAAGAGGTCTGAGGCCAGAGTGGCTGGGAAGGAGATGAGGAGCCAGCAAAGGAGGTGCTCGCCTCAGTTTTCATGTCTGTAAAATGGGCATAACCACCACCTAAAGAGTCTCTTCTCGAATCCATCTTCTTCGTTTCATCTCCACCAACCTCAGCCTGGTCCAGGCCTCCATCCTCTCTCACTGCCCTGGAGCAGTGACAGCCTCCCCATTGGCTGTCTTCCCATCCACCTTCCACACAGCAGCCAATGAGCACAGGAACTGCAAGCCTCTCACATGTCTTCTGCTTTGAACTCTTTGAAGGTGGCCTGCAGCTTCTGCCTCATCTCCTACCACGTGTCCCTTGCTCACTCCCTTTCAGCCACACTGGCCTCCTTGTTCCTCCAAAGCTCCATGTTCCTCTCCCATGGGACATCTGTTCATCCTGTTCCCCTATCCCCCGCTCCAATCAGTTCACGAGCACGTTAACATCTGCTCTTCTGAGACCTCGGCTCAAGCATCACTGTCTCATGAAAGCCTTTCCGGGACCCTGAGCCAAGGTCAGGGCCCCTGGCATTCCCTCTTCCCTTTGGCATTCCTGAGGTCCTGGGATCAGTGTGTCTGTGACCCAGAGGGCAATGTCTGCATCCCCCTGGGGCCCATGAGCTCCACGAGGGTGCAGGCCTCATCTGTGTCTCCAGCATCTGGAACAGGGCCTGTGCACAGAAGCCACTCAATAAACATCTGCTGAATGGCTGAGAAGGTTGTTGAAAAGATGAGTGGTGTAAGGCACAAAGAGTGCTTAACACAGGCCCTGGTGTAGAGTAGGTATAATAAATGCAGCTGATTACCACCGGGCCTAGAACACAGTAGGTGCTCAATAATTGCAGCCACTATCATTACCACTGGGCCTGGCACATAGATGTGTGATATATAGTTACCACGACTGCTAACCAGAAGGCTGGAAGTTCAAACCCACCAGCCACTCAGAAAAGAAGGCTGGGCAATCTACTTTTGTAGTGATACTGCCTCGGAAACCCAAGGAAGGGTCACTATGAGTCGGGTCCGACTTGACGGTATTTAACAACAACCACATAGTTACCACTGGCCCTGGGAACACAGTAGGCATTTAATAAATGCAGCTAGTATCATTGCCACTGCGCCTGGCACACAGTAGATGTGTGATAAATGGAACTGCAGGCCCAGCACCCAGTGATGTTCAGAAAGAGCAGCTGCTAGGATGATCACCCCGTCCACCCTCAGTTGATTCAGAGTTGTTCCTTCAGGAGACAACACAGTAGGTGCACTGGCTCTGCTGGACAGGGAGGCGGGGCTGCCCCAGCCCTGGCCACTCCCCTCGCTGCCCCACCTTGTTCTTCTCGAAGAGCGCAGCCTGGCTGGTCCTCAGGTCACAGTCCAATGCGCTTGTGGTCTGCCTCCGCCGCCGGGCCAGCGCCTCCTCCAGGTCTCCGACCTGTGCCCGCAGCTTCTTGTTTTCCCGCTCCAGGCCCAGCTTTTCAGTCTCGAGCCGCTCCCGGCGACCCCACTCGGCTGCGTTCTCCGCCTGCAGCCGCTCCATCTGCAGCAGGGCAGCACAGGGTGAGGGCTCCCGGGGGGAGGGGAACACGGAAGGGCCTCAGCTGGATGCCCCGCAGGCTCCAGGAACCATTTTTGGCTCCAGGAAGCAGGTCCAGCTGCAGTGGCTATAATTAACCTGAGTTTGTTGCAGGGTGTGCAGGATGTGAGTGCGCTTCTGGTCTCTGTGTGTGGGAGGCCTCCCCCTGTGGACTGGGGTGTTCTCGGGCTGTGTCTGGTTCCCCGCCCCCCAGCACAGGCCTGGCTCGGGCCCTCTTCCCCATAACTGGGTGATGGAGGCAAGACTCCTAGACCTTCAGGCCTTCCAGGTCCCACAGCCCCCTCACCTCACCCCTCAGCTCGGCCATCTTCCTGTCCATGCTACACCGTGCTCCCAGCTCGTCCTCCAGGTCTTCGGATATGCGGCCCAGCTCATCCTGGTGCGTCTCCTTCAGGACGCTGAGCTGCAAGGACACAGCCTGGCTGGTTATGCAAGGCTCCCGGATGCCTCCAGACCGGCTCTGGGTGTGGGCATTACAGCAGGGCAGGGCTCAGCAAGGGACCCAGGGGGTGCCCAAATGGGCCATCAGGTACCCAGAAGAGACCCTGAATCTGGCCACTTCTGTCCCTCCACTGTTGATGAGAGGCCTCTCACCTCCCATCTGATTACCATCTTGCCCTCCTGCCAAGCCGTTCTCCACAGCAGCCCAGAGTGAGCTTAAAAGAGGTACCCCACCATGCTCCCACTCCCCCCTAGGACAGCTCCTGGGTCCCTCAGGAAGACTCCAGCCTGTCCCTATGGTCTCACAAAATCATGATTGGCTGCCTGCTCACCTCTCCTCAACCTTGTCTCCCACTTCTCTTCCCTTAGTTCCTCCTGTTCCAAGCACAGCAGCCTCCTTTCTAACCTGTGAACATACCAAGTTTCTATGCACCACAGAGCCTTTGCACATGCAGCTCCCTCTGCCTGGACTACTCTTCCTGAGGTGTGTTACAGGACTGGCTTTTCTCATCCTCAGGTCCCCTCCTGAGGGAGGTCTCTCTTGTGTACCCCGCCTAGAGGAGGTGCCTTGTCTTCTCCATCCTACTTCCCACTAGACAGTGAGCCCAGGAGGACAGGGATCTGTCTGTGTGTCCACCTCTGAATCACCATATGGCCTTGGCACCGAGCATTGTTGGGGTTAGGTGCCACCGAGTTGAGGTGCCACTGACCAACGGTGACTCCATGTGAGAGCAGAACTGCCCACAAGGTTTCCTGGGCTGTAATCTTTATGGGAGCAGATAGCCAGGTCTTTCTCCTGTACAGCCCCTGGGTGCATCTGAACTGCTGACCTTTGCGTTAGCAGCCAAGCACTTAACTACTGTGCTGCCAGGGCTCCCTTGGCACAGAGTAGCCCCCAACATAAACTGATTAAATGAACAATGGATCCAAACAATGGTTTGGGCGAGGGTGCAGGGTGGGCAGCAGTGGAAGTGCCTAGGGTGCTTTTAAAATAATAGATTCCCTGGTGTACAGCAGGGAAAACCAACAAAGGAAGGCTCCACAAACCACGTGGGGGAGTCTAAAATATACGCCCGGAGGGAAAGAAGCCAGATACAAAAGAGAACCTTTATCATTATCTGCTAAACGGCACATTCATGTTTTATTCACCTTTCTGCAAATGATTATGCCAATTTACAATTTGAAAAAATTGCAAAGACAGATTCTTCAACCCAACCCCCAAGGATGGGGATTCAGAATGGCTAGGGTGGGGCCTGGGGATCTGCATTCCCAGGATATTCCCTCGGAGACTGTAATGTAAGACCAGGGCTGGAAAATCTAGGTTCCTTGCAGCCCGGAGTTGAGGTTCTGAGGTTTCCTTCTTTCTTTGGGAAAGGAAACAGTGGATTTAGACTGGCTTTCCCTGGGTGACTGCGCCCCCTGGTGGCCATCAGGGCTGCACAGAGGCAACAGCAGAGGTCCAGGCCAGACTCCCTGCCTGTTCAGAGCTCCGGTGGTGGAATCCTGTCTGGCAGCTGGATCCTTGGCATCTTTATTCTTAAAATGGGAATGTCAGAACTTAGCTCCCTTGACAGCCATGAGGCTTCAGTAAAATCTGGCACACAGGAGGCTCTCAATGAATGCGACTTCCACTCTCCCCTCCCTCATCCTGTTGTACAAGGTCCCATGAGATTCGGCTCCTTGCAACCTCACTTCTTACCACTGCCCCAGGACCTTTACACGTGCTGTGCCCCCAGATCCTCTCAGGATGGCTTCTTTACATCCCTTTAGTTCTTGCCTCAAATGCCACCTTCTTAGAGGACATCCCTGACCACCATCTGGTCCCTTTCATTCTGTTTGATTCTCTGATAGCTCATGAATATATCTGCCTGGTTACTCCGCTTCCCACAGGCCCCACAAGGTAAACGCCTGCCGGCAGGGACCTCACCTGCCCCAGCACTCAGAACAGGGCCTGGCACATGGCCAGTGCTCGATGGTTGTTGAATGAATGAATGAATGACTTCCCTCTCCCATTTCCACTGCTGAAACCCAATAGTGCACTGCTGCCACCTTCAAGAAGCCTCTCCTGGCCTCCAAGACTCACTTGCTTGAGCATCTCCTGCTTGGTCTTGCTCAGCTCCTCATACTTGATCTTCCACTGGCTGAGCTCTCCCTCCAGCTTCTCAATGTTCCTGCTCAGAGCCAGTTTATCCCTGGGGGAAAGCGAGGAAAAGGGACAGAAGCGGGGGTGAGCCCACCAGGGCCCTGTGCTCAGAGTCCACACTGATGGCGGCCTGCTGGGCACTCCCGCATCGTTGAGCCCATGTCCAGAGTCCTTGCTTTGGCATTTGAGGCCCTAGCTCCCACTGCTCCTGGAGCCGCAACCCTGCTCAACATTCCACAGGGTCCTCAGAGGGGGCACCGCCACCCTCAAGGAGGCACGTTAGAAATTCGTGGGGACATTTTTGGATATCACAATGGTTAGGGGGTCTTTTTGTGGGGTGGGGGTGCCGACACCCTGCAGTGCCCAGGACGTCTCATTCACCCAGAAATTTCCTGCATCCTGCGAACCACCTGCTTGTCCACTGGATATTCCTGGGCCAGAACCTCTGGTTGACACAGAAATAGCACAATCTATAGTTTAACACCCACTGTGCTCCAGGCACCGTACACACGGAGGGAAGACTGCATCTTGCTTGTTCAGAACTTTACCAAAGGCTGTCCACCTCTCAGGAAATCTCATCACCCACAGTGACAGCACTCACGCATTTGGGCTGCCAACCCTGCACGCTGCCCCAGCTGCCTTTGTAGCTGCCCTGTGAAATGCCTTAAATGAGTGGAAACATGCAAAGCCCTTGGCACAGCACTTGACTCCAAGCACATGCTCTGGGAGTTTCTGCTGTAATTATCATCATTGCTATGTATTAAGGGTTGGAATCGTCCCTCAAAAAATGTGCTGGGTCCTAACCCTCGGTGCCTGTGGATGTGATCTTGTTTGGAGGTGGGGTTTTTGAGGATGTTGTTGGCTGAGGTAACATGAGGTCATGTTGGAGCAGGGTGGGCCCATGTTCAATATGACTGGGGTCCTTGAACAGGGTGAGCAGAGACAAGAGGGAGGATGGCCATGGAGAGACAGAGGCAGAAACCAGAGCACTGCATCTACAAGTCAAGGAACTCCAAGGACTGGCAGGCGCCATGAAGCCTAGAGGTGGCAGGGAAGGATCTTCCCCCAGAGCCTTGAGAGAAAGAGACAGACAGAGACAGACACAGAGAGAGAGAGACAGAGAGACAAGAGACCCTGCTGACACCAATTTTGGGCCTGCAGCCTCCAGAACCATGACACGATAAATTTCGGTTGTTTGGGGCCCCCTGCGTGTGCATCCTAAGCAGCCCTGGAAAGTGACACACTGCCACTCCACATAAGGGCACAGGAGTCTGCCCGCTCCACCTGTCTCTAGTGGCACTGTGCCCAAGTGTTTCCACATACATATTTTATTATAAATTGCTTTTGTTTCCATTTTATATTCCATTTGAGGCATGATGCTTATATATTTTTTAAAAATGTGGGTGTAAGTTACAGTGTCTATATATTTGATTTCTGGATAGAAAGAGGGTGTTAGAAAACCTTCATCCTAACCAGGCTTATGCTCACGTGACCTCCACGTTCTAAACCCAACTGTCAGTGCTCAGTCCTCATGTGATGTGACCCAGCTGACCACTTCTTCCTCACGAACAGGCCCTCTAGAATACCCCTTTCCTGGTTTCCCTTCCCCTCACCAGTGACTCCTCAGTCTCCTTTGTTGCTTCTTCCTCCTCTTACCAACCTCTGGACTTCAGGGAACTCCATAGCTTGTCCTCTGACCTCTTCCCTATCCACACACACTCCCCTGGTCTCGCCCAGGCCCATGGTTTCCAATACCGTCTCTCTGCTGACAACTCTTGCGTTTTCACCTCTAGCCCAGACGTGTCTCACACACTCACTCATGTATCCAACTGCCTCCCCAGCATCTCAAACCCAACACTTCCTAAGCCGAATTCCGAGCAGCAACTGCCCAACACTCTCAGTTATGCGCTGGACTGTGTCCCCTCAAAACATGTGCAGTAAATCCTAACCCCTACACCCATGGATATGGATCCAGAAATTCAAGCTGGATTCAGAATAGAACATGGAACGAGGGACATCACTGCTGATGTCAGATGGATCTTGGCTAAAAGGAAAGAATACCAGAAAGATGTTTACCTGTGTTTTGTGCAAAGGCATTAGAGTGCATGGATCATAACAAATTGTGGGTAACATAGTGAAGAATGGGAATTCCAGAACACTTAATTGTGCTCATGAGGAACCTGTACATAGACCAAGAGGCTGTTGTTCAAACAGAAAAAGGGGACACTGCATGGTTTAAAATCAGGAAGGGAGCGCATCAGGGTTGTATACTTTCACCATACTTATTCAATCTGTATGCTGAGCAGATAATCCGAGAAGTTGGACTATATAAAGAAGAACGTGGCATCAGGATTGGAGGAAGACTCATTAACCACCTGTGATATATATACAACACAACTGCTTGCTGAAAGTGAAGAGGACTTGAAGCACTTACTGATGAAGATCAAAGACCACAGCCTTCAGTATGGATTACACCTCAACATAAAGAAAAAGAAAATCCTCACAACTGGACCAATAAGCGACATCCCAACAAATGGAGAAAGACTAAAGTTTGTCAAGGATTTCATTTTACCCAGATCCACAATCAACACCAGTGGAAGCAGCAGCACTGCTTCTGGGCAAATCTGCTGCAAAAGACCTCTTTAAAGTGTTAAGGAGCAACGATGTCAATTTGAAGACTAAGGTGTGCCTAATCCAAGCCATGGTATTTTCAATCACCCCACATTCATGTGAGAACTGGACATGAATAAGGAAGACAGAAGAATTGATGCATTTGAATTACGTTGGTGAAGAATACTGAAAATACCATGGACTGCCAGAAAAAGGAACAAATCTCTCTTAGAAGAAGTACAGCTAGAATGTTCCCTAGAAGCAAGAACAGCTAGACCTCATCTCACCCACCTTGGTCATGTTGTCAGATGGGACCATTCCCTGGAGAAGGGAATCATGCTTGGTAAAATGGAGGGTCAGCAAAAAAGGGGAAGACCCTCAACGAGGTGGACTGACACAGTGGCTGCAACGATGGGCTCAGGCATAGCAAGGATCGCGAGGATGGTGCAGGACCAGGTAGTTATTCCGTTCTGTTTATAGGATTGCTGGGAGTTGGAGCCAACTGGATGGCACCTAACCCCATCGGGAAGAGGACTTTCTTTGCTATGTCAATGACATCATGTCAGTGTGGGTATGTCTTAAACCAATCCCTTTTGAGATATAAAAGCAGCACCCTAGGCACTGAAGCCAGCCAGCCTGAATGGGAAAGACTCAGATGTCACCTGGCAACCTCCAAGAAGAACACCAAAGAAGCGAGGATGTCCCCACCACAGTGAACCAAGAAAGCCTTCCCCTAGGGCCGGCACCCTGAACTCAGACTTCTGCCTCCTAAACTGGAAGGTCAATTTCTGTTCATTAAAGCCACCTATCTGTGGTATTTGTTACAGCAGAACATAAGAGACTAAGACACTCTATCCCCTCTGCCTGCATCCACCTTTGTTCACTCTCCCCCATTAGTTCACTTCAATTAGAATGTAAGTTCCATGAGGCAGGGAGAGAGCATGGTGCCTGGCCCAGAGCAGACACCTAACACACATTATTTGAAAGAATACAGACTTGCGTTGGGTCCTCTGGGTGGAGCACGACTGCTCCAAAGTCCTAAGACTGGAGCCTAAACGCCACCCTTCACCGAGTGACTCTTGTGCTCTGACTTTCATGCTGTGATTCTGAGGGCATCCCGGTGTGGCTTGGCCCAGCCCCCCAGTCCCCGTCAACGTCCCCGAGACTCACTCTCGCTCCTTGAGCAGCACCTTCTGGGACTCATCGAGCCGCAGACGCAGGGCAGTCAACTTGGAAGTGTCCTCCTCTGTGGTGGCTGTGTCCTCCCAGGGTAGCCGGTTACGCTCCTGGCGGCCTGAGCTGCCCCGTGGGCCCCCGCTCCGTATGCTGCGTGCCTCCCAGCAGCCCTCGGGCTCCTCTGCTCTGTTCTTCAGCAGGCTCTCCACCAGCTCCAGCTCCTGCAGGAACCAAGGCGGAGGCTGCACCAGAGGCCACTGAGCCCTCATCCTGTCAGCCTTCCTCATGGCCTCTCCCAGGCCCTGGGGCAGCTTGCGGGGTGACCTTGGGCAAGTCACACAGGCCCTCTGGACTGAGCATAACAAGACCTGAACAGGGAGGAAAGGCAGGTGGTTGGGTCCCCCAAGGAGTATGTGATGGGCAAGATGGGAAATATTATTCAGCCAATATACAAGATACAAGCAAGGGCAGCCACCAGTAGGTGAATGCCACTCAGACCCCCTTCTACAAAAAGGAGACGACTCTGTCCTTCTGCCTCACTATTGTGGAGAAGGACTGACATGCCCTCCTCTGGGCTCCAGAGCTGGGCTCAGGAGTCAACATGAAGGTTCCCCATGTCCTTAAAGCTCCCCCATGAGAGGTAGTGAGCTCCCTGCCACTGGAAGTATGCAAAACATATAATAGAACACTACTTGGTGGAAATGAATGTTACAGCAAGGATTCCTAGAGTGGATAAGGACTAGATTCCTTCAAAGGGAATTCCAATTCTATGATCCCATTTTTCAGGTGTGAACACTAATGCATTCATTGGTAGCATGACAAAATATACACAGGGAGGAAGAACGAGTTCCCCAAAGGGAAGTAGTGGAGAAAAAAAAAAAGGAAATAATGAGGGAGTAGAAACCTGATGCTGAGCCCCTCTTAGGCTCTCCCTTCCCTCTGCCCTAAACCTGGGTGGGCCCTGGCCTCTGTTCCAGTCTCTTCACCGTCTGCTCTAAACAAGAGCACTGAACGCCACCTCCAAACACAGAGCAGGCCAGGTGAGGAAAGGACTCCAGCCTCCAGGGGCAGCAGTGCCTACTCTGGTTTACAGGAGTGGAAGGGACTGGGCAGGAGGGGGAGGAGGCAGCCGAGAGTCCTAGCTGAGGGAGCTGTGGCCTTTGGGACAGGGCTGGGTGGAATCTGAACTTGAACTCTACCCCTAGGAAGCTTTAGGTGGACAGACCTGCTGGCTTAGGGGAGGCTGCCCTCCGCACCCACCAATCATCAGCCATGCTGATTACCTGGACTCTGGAGCCAGACCACCTGGGTTCAAACCCCAGCTCCTCATCACCAGCCAGGTAATCTGGGTACTTAGCATCTGTACGTGTGTGTCTTCATTCATAAATCCCCACAGGATTGTTGTGAGATGATGCCCCAGAGAACTGAGGATCAACCAAAATAATGTCCACTCTCGCCCCCCTCCCCTCAGCAGGACTTGGAGCACTGTGAATGGGCAAACGTGAGCAGCTGTCATTAGTGCCATTTCCCAAACTCCCCAGGTACTCTGGGCCTCTGGGCCTTTGCACAGACAGTCTCCATCACCTGGGTTGGCTGCCTGCATTTCCATGGCTAATCGTGCTCATCCGCCTCGTTGTTATGTGCTGTCGAGTTGGACCCAACTCATAGCGACCTCTCCTTGGGTTTCCGAGGGGTATCACTAGGGAAGTAGATTACCCAACCTTCCTGCCTAGCCTCAGGTTAAATGTGGCCTCTTCCTGGAAGGCCTCTGTGAAGCCTCTTCCCCAAAGCCTGGGTCAGACACCTAGTCTGGCTCCTAGAGCCTTGATAACCAAACTAAGTTGAAGGGCTGAATGGATTCAGCTCTGCCATCAACTCCATGGGTCCCAGCAAGTCCTGCTTCCTCTCCTGCGACTAGACTCTGGTTCTGTTGACTTCTACAGGTGGGAATTGGAGGGGCTGCCTAAACCTGGGTTCCTCTGCCACGATCGTGGGTCTAGGCTGGGAAGTGACGTGTATCCCTGGGGGCAAAGCCAGACACAGAAGAGTGAAACCTCCCAGGTGACCAGGTCCTTACTAGCTGCTTTTGGAATCCTGCAGCCCCACTTCTGTCCAGGTCGAGGGGTGCTGCCAGCTTCCAGCTCCAAGAGTAAAGGCTGTGTCCAGTGCCCACGGCCTGCATTGGCGCTCCACCCCTTTCTGGCCAGCACCGCCCTCCCCCCCCAACCCGTCAGCCCCGCCCTCGTGCCCCACACCTGGCTGCCCTGGGGCCTCTCAGATCCGACGTCGCGCACTGGTTCGGGTTCGTGCTCGTGCTCCAGCTGCGGCTCGGGACCGTCGGGCGTCCGGTCGGCGGCCCCCCGGGCGCCCCGGAGCCGCGCCAGCTCACGGCCACGAGCCTCACACTCTCCCTGAGCCTCCTGGCGCTCGCGCCGCGCGCCCGCCAGCTCCTTGGTGAGCGCATCGAGGCGCTGGCGGAGCTGGCGCACCTCCTCGCGCGCGCGGTTGCGCTCGGCGCGCACCTTGCTCCACTTCTCGCGCCAGTTGGCCGTGCAGTCCGACCACCAGCGCATGGTCTTCTCCATTTGCGCTGCCCGCGCCCGCGCCTCCTCCAGCTCCCGCAGCCGCAGCTCCTCGCGGCTTTCCCAGTCCCCGTCCGCCAACAGCGCGGGCGCCGGCGGCAAGAGCAGCGCCGGCGGCGGGCCGGGTGAAGGCGTGCCGCTGGACGGTGTCGGTGGTAGCGAGTCGGATGGCCCCATGCGCTCGGGCGATGGGCTGCCCAGAATGGTCAGGAGGCTGCCCTTGGACAGCTGCGGGGACTCGGCTAGGCGGGGGCTTGGCCCGTGGCTCATGGTGCAGCTGGGCGGGAGGGTCTTAGGCCCTGGGCTCGAACTTGTGGCAGGTCTCAGGGGAGGCACCGGAGGCCTGTGGGGGATGGCATACCACTGTGCATGATGGAAACCGCGACCCACTGCTCTTCGGGCCACTGAGTTGGGGGACGTCTTCTCGGACCTGCAGGAGAACACAACCGTTACTAGCCAGTCAGTCCATAGTATCTGCCATGCAAAGGTCAGAACAGACAGAGGGCACGGTGTGGTCAAAGGCTCCAGGAGAGGGAGTGGTTGTGTCCAGAACCCCAGTGAGGCCGGACTGTGCTGGCCTGCAGTTTCCTCCTCCAGTACCTTTGCCCTGCTGCAGCACCAGGAGCTGATCTGAAACCTTGGTTGGCTGTCCATGACCTTCCGGGTGCCATCTCCCTCACTGAACTGACTGCACCCCTACTTCCACCCTCTAATGCAGGCTGCTGTTTTCTGCTTCCATCAAGCTGCTGCCAGGAGTCCCCACCCTGCCCTGGGTGACAACTCTTTAAATCTCATCTCTCGCCTCCTCCAAGAACCTCTCTGGGACCAGCTCAGGCCAGGCCTGCCATCCTCTGCCTGTGTCGTCATCAAGGCACTCACCTTGCTGTACTATTTAGCTGGGTGCATGTTTCCTCCCCATCCCCACCCCACAGGCTGTGAGTCTGCTGAGGACAGGGGCTGGGTCTTGGCTACTGTTTTAGCTCCAGCACATGTTGATGGTGACAATGACATCTGTGAAGGGCTGACTACAGGCCAGGCACGGTGCCCAGGGCTTTATGTGAATTATCTCATTGATTCCTCTCAACAGAATGGAGGGAAATTATTATCACCATTTACTGAAGAGGAAACGAACGCCCGGCGAGGTTAAAGCCCCTGAGCTGATCCAGATATCTGAGTCCATCTCTCAGCACTGGGAGGATTTGTCACCAAGCACTGGTGATACGGCAGAAATAAACCCGCCTCTATTAGATGGTGGAGGGAGTGTCTGCTCCCTTCCCTGCCAGAGCCCGCTCCTCCCTGGACCTCTCATCCACAGCATCCTCCCCTGTCTGCTGTGTCATCTCAGCACCCCCCATGCCCACAGCTGGGCTCTGCCATTCATGGGCCACTTCCCCATTTAACACAAATGGGACAGACATCCCTTGCTGTCCCCATCCTTCACCCATCTCTCTCCATTTTGACCAGTCCTGCCCGGTGGCCTCAGGCTGACCTCCACATTCCCCATTCATTTGAGTCCCTGCCCCTTCCCACCAGCCTGGTGGCCCAGCTCCACCTCCATCCCTTTTCTGAGCAGTCACGTGCACTGACAGTGGAACTCCCCCTACATCTGTGAAGCGCTGACTACAGGCCAGTGCTGCTCCCCAGCACTGCCCGGCTAGTGTTCCCTGCATGGGCTCACTCTCCTACTTTCCACCCACAACTGTTTCACACCTCACCCCCTTCCCATCTCTAACCCTCTCACTCAGCAGACGATCTAGGTCATCATTGGCAGCAAATAGGGAAACCGTCAGATTGGCACTCCCTCTGTCCTGTCGCAAGAGGACAGACAGAGGGGTTCTCCCTTCTTGAGTCCCAGACTCACTCTTCCACCACCCCACCCCTGACAAGGATGCTATACCTGCAGGAGGCCTCACCCTTTCACCACCTTTACTCCCTCTTTCCTCTCCTGGGCCCAACCTCCCCACAGTGACCCATACTCACCCATTGGCTCTGTTCTGCCCACCTCCCATGCCCTCAGCCCATGCCAGGCTGGCTTCCAGCCCCACTGCCTACTCTGCAGGCACAGTTCAGTCCTCACAAACGCATCCTCGCATTATAATTTTAGAACGGTCTTATCGTTCCTGCTTTTCTGCATCTCTTCCAGGACACCTCGCTCTCTGGGTCTCCTGCTCACTCCCCAACCGTCCCTCATTGGCCTCATCGACCTCCTGGGTGGGCGCCCCAGGGTGACCCCTTTGAGTGGCAGCCTATCATCTGGGTCCCTCCTCTAACACTGCCCCTTGCCAGAGTCATCTCACCTTCCCCCACATTCTCAACAACCACACAGGCTGATGAGTCTCAAATCTCTCGTTCAGTCTAGGTTGCCCTTCCTCAGGTTGCCTTGATTTCCCCAGCCACCCCCTCTCCCCACCCTGGGGAGCAGGGCCCTACAATCTCCCACCCAGACCTGGTCAGCTGCCCTCTCCTGGCGGCACAGGCTTCATCGTACTCCGTAGGACACTTGTGCCACCCAGCACTTCTAGGTCAGTGTCCTGCATAGAGTAATTGCTTCAAGTTGCCTGGTGGGGTGGAGAGCAGAAGGCTGAACTAAGGGCCCCCAACCTCCACTGCGATGTCCACAGCCACCACATCTTGGTGAGAAGGGGCCCACCATCTTCCTCCCCCCACAACCAGCTCCTCCTCGGGTAGACCAGAGAAAGGTACTTCCTCCTTCATGATGTGGGGGACACCCTGGGAGGACCTGTCTGCTCCTCCTCCACCCCACCTATCCACTCTTCCCCCGCCACAGCCACTGGTCTGTTGGAGCCCCGTCCCCCCAATCTCCTTCCTGGGTGCCGTCAGCCATCATGCCCCATCCCCAGCGCTTGCCTCCTTCAAATCCATTCTCAGCAACAGCAACAGTTTTTAAATATGAAACCCTGATTATGCCAGTGGCCACGCCCTTTGTCATTAACCATAGCTGTGCCCTCCCTCTGGTGTCAATTCTTAGTTCCCTCCCTCTGGGACTCCAACTCCAGACATTCTTCAAATCCCAAAGAAACTACAACCCACTGATGCTGCCACCAGTTCACTGTCCCCACGCCCACTCCATGCCTCTCTCCTTACTCAGCTCACACTCCATGGTTCTGACCTCTCCCAGCAAACACTGTCCGTGCCTCTGTCCCTCTCTGGTTCTTGCCTCTCTAGGCAAAGTGCCAACCTGGTCACCTCCACCATAGTGCCTGCTCTTGCTTGTAGAGTCAGGCAGGTGTTCACACCACCGTGCTGACTGTTTTAAATTTATGACCATTGCATGGCTCCTCAGTGCTGCTCAGCCACCTGACACACTTCCCTCCTCTGTTCGCTCTCCGCTCTCCTGGGCAAACCTGGCTCCCTATTTCACATAAAATATAGAAGTGAACTTCCTCAGTCTCCCTCCACACCTCCCCACCTTCCTGCATCTACACACACGTCTGCTTCCCTCTGGGACCGTCTGGCCTCCCAGCTAAGGCTGACCCTTCAGCTCTCCTATTTCCCTGAAATACATTCCAGGGAGACTTCTGCTGCCCCTTCCCCGACCCCTCCTCGAAAGCGGCTCTTGGCAAGTTTATACTGAATCTGGGGCTTGGTCTGGCAGACCAGTGCCTCTGAACCTGGAGGGTCTTTTGGCTTCTCCTGGACACTTGCTTACAATGCAGGGTCTTGCACCCTCCCGCTCCCCAGAGTCATGTTCAGTAAGTGGAGCCTGGGAATTTGCATTTTAACCGCTGAGTGTTCGGTGATGTCTCCTCCTCACCCAGGCAGGTACGTCTCAACCCCAGGAACACCTGCACAGACAAGGTCATGCACAAAGAAGTAACCGTTCGACTCCAGCTCCTCAGAGCCAGCCAGCAACTCCCTGAGGCCATGTGCCATTTCTGTGACTCAGTCTCTGAATCTGTGCAACAAGGTGGCTGGCCTTGATGTCCACGAGTATTCCAGACATTTGTGCATGCCTGCAGATGTACATACAACCCCTTATATAAACACAGATACAAAGACTTATGGGCAGACACAGATACACTCGAAGACAGATCCAGAGCACACAGCTGTACAAATGCATAGAGACACTCACCTGCAGATATGGAGTCACAGACACACCTGAAGACAGGTAGGGGCTAACACACTGACATGCGAAGACAGATACTCCTCCCTAAGATGGGCACATACACACAGTCACACACACACACACACACACACACACACTTCTCCTCTCCCAGTTTTCCTGGCCCAGCTCCACATGGAGAAGCTCTTGGAAAAGAAAAACATTGTGAGGGCTGGTGGGGGAGGGGGAGGAGGCAGGAAACCCAGATGCCAGGCGGCAGCTCTTCCAGAGCTATGCTGGGAATGGGGAAGGGAGGGAGTGAGGGGGTCCTGAGGCCAGGCCTGGTCTACTGGGCCCTTCCTGCAGCCTCTGAACTGGCACGGTGGCAGAGAGGGGGCTACTGCCACATCCTCTTTGCCTCTAGGAGCTACTAGGCCTGGCATGGGGCTCAGTAGGGAGGGGGCTGGGCCATACTCCTTCCAGGAATCCCAAGCCTGCTGAGATGGGCCAGGGCGGGCACCATCCAGGCCCCTAATAGCTTCCAGGTACCCATGCTAAAGGCAGGTGTGGGGGCTCCAGACTCAGCTCATGTTCCCCTTCCCAGCTGGTCCTCCTGGGGACTAAGGAAGCAGGAGGGAGGGGAGGGAGGGTGTATGTGCATGTGAGTGTGGGAAGGGGTTGGGTGGTTAGTATTTTGGGGAAGCCCCCACCCTGTCCTGTACACCCACAGAGACCCAAGGGCAACCAGACTCTGCCTAGCAACACTTTCCCCCTTCCCACCCCTCACACTCCACTCACATAACTCAGCCTTAGGGACACACACTCAGACACAGCCTTGGCTACACTCACATCGAGAGATATAACAACACAGGCATAGCTCATGGCTTACAGACAGGCTCTGGCCACCCCTTCCCCACCAGGCTCAGTGCCCCCTTCCCATGGGGTGTATGTATATGTTGGGAGGTGGCCTCCTGATTCCCCAAGGATGTCACCACCCCTCAAGGAGCAGGCGGGGATTGGGACCAGCCACCACAGGCCCCAGGGAGAAGTCCCCATCCCACCCTTCCCTCCTGCCTCCCACCAGCCAGACAGGTCTATTCCTGCTCTAACTTTCTGGGTTTCTGCTCAGGCTCTTCCCCCCACCCGGAGTGCCACCCTCCCAGCCGCGGGAATCTCCGTCTCTGAACCCTCCAAGAAATGCCTTGTTTCCCCAGGTGCCCCCTCTCCCCACCCTGGAGAGCACAGCCCCACAATTTCCCACCCAGACCTGGTCAGCTGCCCTCTATGCTGGGAACCCAGGCTTCATCCTACTCCTAGAACACTTGGGCCACCCAGTGCTTCTGGGTCAGGGTCCTGCATTCAGAAGTTGCTTCAAGTTGCCTGGTGGGGCGGAGAGCAGAAGGCTGAACTAAGCCCTTCATCATCTCAGCTGGGCAGCAGAGCTGAGCGGGACCCAGAGCTCCTGAGCCCAAGCCCCAAAGGTATCGTCACCACTCCAGGTTGTGTCTGCCGACTCCAGGGCCAGAAACAAGGACATTTTGATCTCAAACCTGCCTCAAGCTAAGCCCTCATCAGCACTGTCCACCAAAAGTGCCAGTGGTTCCAATTGCCCTGGATCAGTCTGGAATGTCCCTCCATCCATCTTTCGCCATCAGCAAACTCCTACTCATCCTTCAAGACTTACTTCCAGTGTCCCCTCCTCTGGGAAGCCTTCCCTGACCCCTGTGCACAGAATATGTTAGTGCTCCCAAAGCCCCGGGTACCTCCCTGTCCTTCAATAATGGTCATACTGTGACGCCCATGTGGTGTCTTGGTTTAGCTGGCTGTCAGCACATACTGCACAAATGCTTGCTGGGCTGACGGATGGAGAGATGCTACTCTTTCAGTTCCTCTTGTGACCAGTGAAGTCTGGGAAGGCTGAGCCATCATAAGGATCAGAAGTCAGTTTGTGGCCAGGTTCCAAGATAGCAGGTGTCTGAGTATGTGGCCAAGGACAGAGCCAGAGGTCATCCCCAGGCTGGGTCAAGGGTCAGGCGTCTTACTTGAGGAAGCCTAACTGGCCCCCAGGGCGACAACCTTGTGTTTTGTCTTTAGTATACCTGGATGGGGGAGCTCTGGTAGCATAGTGTCTAAGGCACTTGACTGCTAATGAGGAGCCTGGCTGTTCAAACTTACCAGCCACTCCTCGGAAGGAAGGCTGGGCAATGTACTTCCATGGTGATACCACCTCGGAAACCCAAGGAGGGGTCGCCATGATTTGGGTCCGACTTGATGGCACATAACAACAACACATGCCTGGATGGGTCTGCCTCTCAAAATTCGGCCAGAAGAGTGCACAATGCTGAGGCCTGGATGGGGGCCAGCTGGGGGTGGGAGACTGCATGGCCCCAACTCTTCCCTTGAGCTCAGAAACATCCTATGGCTTCCCAGAACCTTGCAGTTGGGGCTCTGGGGCTGGCCCATGGACACAGGCCTGGCTGTGGGCAAGGAGCAGAGCCCAGCAGGAAACCACAGGGGAGAGCCTGATTGGATAAATGCAGGGCACAAGGCTGGTCAGCCACAAACTGCGGGCACCTGTCCCTCTGCCCTGCTGCCCAGGATCCAGTGCAGGGCCTCTCAGAGAGGACTGGGGGGAAGGGAGGCTGGGCCTCCGAGCCAGACCTGAGCCCAGGGGTGGGCACCCCTGACCTGTTCCAGGTACCCCCCCCCCCAGACTGAGGAACCAGAGAGAGATCCTAGACTCTTGATTCAATTCCCCTTCTTTATAGATGGGCCAGCTGAGGCCAAGAAACTTATGCATGTCCACATAGACTATCCGCAGCAAAGCCAGGGTGGGGAGGAGTCCTGCGACTGGGTGTCTCCTCTCCTGGGTCCTGATGACCTGAGGGGCACGATGGCCCATCCTGGGAGTATCAACAAGATGGGGTCCTCAGGCATCGGGCCAAGTGAGCAAGCAAGGCTGGGAGGAGAGAGGGTGGGAAGACTTCATGGGGGCTGACCCAGACTCAGGTCTCTCGGCAACTCCTCCAAGCCTCATATCCTGTGAACAGGGGTCATCCCACTGGTGCCAGCTTTGCCACTGAAATCCTGTATATCTGCCAAGTCACTCTTTGGACCTGTCTTCTGTCTGCTCAGCGGGAGAGACACGAACAAGATTCCCAATAGTTCTGTCCAACAGGCAGGCAGACCTGGTGCCAACCTGAACCAATCCAACCCCCACAACAGCCCTGTGGGGTTAGGGGTGGGAAAGGGATGTATTTGTAAGCTAGAGAAACTGAAGCCCTGGTGTGGATGGGGCTTGCCGGTATCACCGTTGGCAACAATAAAAGATGGGGTAACTGAGGCCACTCCCCTCTCCTTGCACTGAACCGTCGCTCCACCTGCCCCAACTCTTTCCAGAAATTCGCTTCCTGGAAGGCCAAGCCACCAGAAGCCTCCGTCTTCATTTCCTCGCCCTTCTTCCCAGTAGCCCGGGCCCAGTGAAGCGCCCTGCACCCCCTAGCGGCGGGCTGAGAGTGGAGGGGCTCCCCGCGCCGCGCGATCCCGCCCACACGGCCCCCATTGGCAACCACCGGGCCTAGGGCTGAGGCTCCGCGTTCCGATTGGCCAGAGCCGCCCGTCCATCCCGCACTCGCCATGGTGACCACGTTGGGTCCCCCGGGAAAGTTTCAAATTCCGCCCCCGCCCGTCGCCCCCCCCTCCCGTCGGGCCCGGTCCTATGCCTTCCCCGGGCGCACCCCCACCCTTTCCTTAGTCCCTCCTCACTCGAAGCCTGGGCCCCTAAAAGGTGGGGGAGCCCGGGGAGGGAGCTAGAAAGTTCTGCTCTTACTTTGGGGGTTGATGCAGATGCAGGGCCCCCACGGATCCCCAGTCTGCCAGCCCGCCCCCAATTTAACCCCTTCGCTTCCACGGACGGTTCGCAGAGCAGGGGGAGTTCCCGGGACGCAGCTGGCTCTATGTCCACCCCGCGCGGCCACCCCGGCTCACCTCTGCCCAGGACCCGCGGGCTCCGGACGTCCGACCCGCAGTGGCTGGGCGGAGCGGGCACGGTGCTGGCTGCGGCCGACGCCTGGAGGGCCGAGGGAGGGCCACGGAGTCTCCTCCC